TATACTGGACAAAGTAACTTGATTTAAAGAAACACAGGACTTCCCAGTGATCAGAGCTGGGTTTCCAGTCTTCACTTTACTAATTATGTGATTCTAGAGGTCCAGAGCTCTGAGCTCCAGCCTCTTGATTGTGAGATGTGTATGGTGCTTATCTTCGTGGGTTATCATTAAACAAAATGAAATAATAACATAAAAACACTTTTAAATCTGTGGATATTTGTTGTTAATATTGAATTAATAGTTCAACAGGCATTGTCTGGGGGTCCCCAAAGATCCTGGCTTTCAGGGGTTCCTGCTCTCCCATAGGCCACCTGCACTGACTCTAGGCTGGGCCAAGGGGCTGGCTGTGGCCAGTGAGGTGTGGAGCAGAGGCCGGAGAAGCACTCAGTGAGCTTGGTGCTGCAAGGGAGTCTGGGCAACACATCTGGGGATGAAAAGCCCCTGAGGCCTCTGAGGATGCCAGACACCACCTCACACATCCCAGCCCCAGCCACGAGGGTCCTTCTGAGCCTCTGCGTGGGACAGACGCAGGCGAGCCAGGCGCCTGAGCCCACATCATTGTGAGAAATGATAAGATGTTCCTGTTTTGAGTTGTGAAGTGGTTGCTCACTCATGTGTAATTAAAATACAGTGAATGGCTCTGCAAGAAAAGGGCACTGGAATTAATTTGACATGGAATCAAAGACAGAAGGAGCACAAGGTACGGTGGGATAGCCTGAGACCTGAAGACAGGTGACACTGCACACGCAGAGCTCCGGAACTGCAGCAGCTGTTTCCAGCTCCTTTGTCAAGTCAGCTGCCCTGGAGAAAAGGCCACCTCTTTAACAAATGATGACAAGAAAACCGCTGTCCAATGCAGAAAACGGAGCTAGACTTACATTTCTTACCCTGTACTAAAATCAAATCAAAATGGATCAAAGACTGAGATTTAAAAACTGAAACTACTGGGAAATGAAATAGGGAAAACAAAGATATAGGCATAGGCTGTTATAAAGAATCCACTTGTCAACAAAAGACAGGCTCTTCGTTGTGAGAAAAAGGAAAGTTTATTCCAGTGATCAGGGACTAGAAATCAGGAGATTCTAGCAGCCAGCTGGGAAAAGCTGAGTTTATCACATCCTTGTGGATGATGGGCTGACAATGGGAGAGAGATAGTGGCAGCTGGCTGGGAGAGATTTCATCTTTGAGAGGCTGGGCTAGCACCGGGGAAGAGAGATGTTAGCCATTAACTGGGAAAGGAATTAGGCTTACATAGTTATTGAAGGGGCTAAGGAATCTGGGGTAACATTTATGACTTAGTGTCCAAGGACAGTCTGGACAGATATGTATACAATTACTGGGCTTTTCAGCCCCTGGAGGTTATAAGCCATATTTTTTAATCTATTTGCCTCACTTACTGGGAAGCTGCTAGTATTTGTTAAAAAGCAGCCTGTTTATTTTCCCTGCTGATTTGGGGCAGGCCTGACATAGGCAAGCTCCTGAATAGAGCTTAATGGCACAAGAAATAATTCCAAGAATCAACAAGTGGGATTACATTAAAGAGCTGCACCACAGGGCTGGGGATTTAGCTCAGTGGTTCCACTGCCTGCCTCACAAGCGCAAGGTCCTGAGTTTGATCCCCAGTACCAAAAAAAAAAAAAAAAAAAAAAAAAAAAAAAAAGCTGCTCAACAAAGGAAGCAACCAACAGAGAGACGACCGACCCACTCCTAAGACAGGACTAATATATGAATATATAAAGAACTAAAATAATTATATCCCCAAAACAAATCAGCCAATCAAAAAATGGGCCATTGAAGCAAATAGACATGTTTCAAAAGAAGAAACATAAATGCCCAATAAGTACATTTAAAAAATGCTCAGTATCTTTAGTCATTAAGGAAATGCAAATCAAAACAACTCAGATTCCATCTCAGCCCAGGCAGAATGGCCAACATTAAGAACTCCGAAAACAATACATGCTTGTCAGGCTGTGGGAAAAAGGAACCCTTCTGCTCTGTTGGTGGGAATGTGAACCAATAACTACTATGGCAATCAGCTCGGAGGGTCCTTAAAAACTTGAGAATAGAAGTTCCAATTTACCCAGCTATACCTCTCCCCAAAATTTTCCCAAAAAAGTTAAAGTCATCATATTATTGTGATAAGTGCATATCCATGTGTATAGCAGCACAGTTCACAATGGCAAAGTGCTGGAAACAGCCCAGATGCCCATCAGTGGACGAATGGATAGAGTAAATGTGTTTATACATAGTGAAGTATTATTCAGCCATAAGGAAGGATGAACTTGAGTCACTTGTAGGTAAATGGATAGATCTTGAGACCATAATGTTATGTGAAATAAGCAAGGGGCAGGGGGATTTAGCTCAGTGGTACCCTACCTCTCTTGGAAGTTCAAGGTCCAGAGTTCGATCCCCAGTGCCAAAAAATAACAGAGCCAGTCATAGAAGGTCAGATATTGCGTAGTTTTCTCTTACTAGAGAAACCCAAAACAGAAATAAATCAAAGGATAAAATAAAGGAGAGATGATAGGAACCAGGGAGGTAGACTCTTTGGAGATAGGAATGTTGGAGGGGAAGGTAGGGGAGAACAGGCATGGAAGAAGATTGGACTGTGATGCATACCTACGTACCAACTCCTCTTCCAAAATGTAGTGATTACGTATCACGAATACACACCAGGTGAAAACCCAGCGAGTTTCTTTCTTTTCACAGAGGGCCTTTGTTGTGGAGGCAGGTGTTGGGTGTCACTCTGTGCCGGCTGAGGTGTTGCTGCGACCTTATGGACCCCCACACCCGTGCCCTCAGGGCGGCTGAGCAGGTGCAGACTTGAGCAGTGGCAGCCTGGACTCTCAGAGCAGGAACCCTGCCCAGGCAGCCACAGGCCTAGCTGGGCTGTCACAGGAAGTCACCAGGGCAGGGGGATGGAAAATGCTTTCCTCTCCCGGCCAGGACAGGGACGAGCCTTTGAAGACCAGAGACCTTGTTCAGGTTCAGCACAGTGGCCTCCTGTGACACAGCGGCCCTGGGGGGACTCAGCTTCTCGGGGTCCCTCGTGTGACACGGGGGAAGCAAGGAGACTGTCTCCCAGGTTGGCAACAAGGAGAGCAGGCACCGGAGGGGCCCCAGGGGTGGGTGGGACTCGAGACAGCCTAGGACAGATGTAAACAAACTCCAGGCCACACCACTGTCCCCCTCTCCCCCGAGGGAGAGGGCCGAGGAGCCTCTCGTCCCTAGGGCTGTGCGGCCCCAGACCCATTGCCCTACTCATGGGGAGCAGAATCTCATTTGCCCCTTTGGCCAAGTGACCAGGGTCTAATTTAGTCCTGGGTGAGCAGGGAGGGAGGGAGGCAGAGACCTGGAATAGGGACGGGCACAGGGCCCAGGTCTCCTGTTTCTGGGTGGAGTAGGCTCTCTGGAAAGGGAATCCGCATGAGGGAGGCAGAGCCCACGAGTGTCCTCGGCAGAAATCGGGGCCAATCCCTCGTGACTAGCAGGTCTGAAAGCCACAGTGCCAAGTAGAGTCACCCAGACTGACAGTCAATTCCCCGCTTCACCAGGTGGGACACTGCTCCAGGGTCTGTGCTAGGCTGTGCCTGAATCCGGTGAATCCTGAAGTGTGAAGCTCAGTGTGGTAGCAGCGCCCCACCTCCTGGAGGCCTGGCTATGACAAGGCCGAGGAGGGAGGAGCTGATGCTGTTCTCCTTCCTCACACCTGAGCTTGGGCAGTGCCTTTGTCCTCACGCCCTCAGCCCAGGACTGACACCTGCAACCCAGCTGCCCAGTCTCAGGCCCTCGGACCCGGACTAATTTCAGCTCTCGCCTTTCCTAGGTCCCCAGCTTGCCGATGGGGGACTTTTGGGGCTCTGAGATCGCGGGAGCTGACTTCTCATAGTAAATCTATCTCTGTCTGCTTGTCCATCTACATATCCACCCAACTATACAGCTTCTCTGTCTGTCCATCCCTCCAACCCTCCATCTGCACCCATCCCTTCCAGTTCCCTGGAGAACCTGACTAGTGTAGTACTGGAGAAGAACCTGGATTTCCTGGCAACCACCAAGCCCTTTGTGTCGCATGCTCCGTTAGTCCAATGTCCAGGTGCAGTGAATCTGAGGATTGCATGACATGCAGAAGTGATGGGTCTCATGAGAAGCATTAGTTATCCGAGTCTCAGACTCAGGCGGTAGAAGCAATCTACACCTGACTTAACTGGCTTATTTGCTTCAGAATAGACCATGGTGATTGTTGGCTTTTCCACTTTTCTCATATTGATCCACTTACTGAGTATCTGCTTGGTGTCTTGATAGTGCCATTACTATGTACAAAATAGAAGGAGTTAGGCATCATGTTATTGCAGATAGGTACGTTAATTAGATATCTTGTAGGTAGTTAGGGGCACCCTCAAGGTGCCAGCCCTCCAGGAGCCAACACGGCAAGGAACCAACTGGAGAACAGTTGAGGCAGGTGCACTGGTTAGCATTAGGAGAAGAAGAGGAACTGCTTCCCCGCGGATAGCCGTGATGGATATTCTAAATGGGGAACTCCTTGTATGTGACTCGTTTTCCCATTTGCCCCCATTTAATCAATGTTACCTGACTGTAATTATTATTATTATTATTATTATTATTGTTGTTGTTGTTATTAATTATTATTATTATTA